GACTGGGTGGACGCAGAGGACTGCTCGTCTGTAGTCGACTACTGCGCCATCTCGTCAACAGTTTCAGCAACGACACATCTCCTCCCTCCTTTACAATTGGCCTCAGGAATCACCACATCAACCACATGTTTAGTGCCTCCGAAGAGGTTCTTTCCACCAGGATCCGCCATCTGCGCCAGTCGCCCAGGATCCAACAATATTCTCCTCTTTCCCGCCATCCTCGTCTCTTTCATGAATGATTACGATGCATGTCTTCCATGGGGCTTGGTGTTGTGTCTTCTTACGAATTGGACGTGCCGTCACACCCCAAATGCGGCATGTGTTATGAGGTGAGCATCGTCAATAAGGCCTGCCAGACTCCGATCTAGTTCCCCGTGGCTATGCAGCGCATCCAATGCGTGGTCTGCCTTAGGCGCAAATGTCGCGGAGATAATGCTGCATGGCAGTACCGTGTAACCGATAGAGTACCATCCCCCTCACAGACCATGAGCACGTGTGCGTCAACTATGCACGGCTCAAGTTCCAGAGAACTGCCTGCCTCCCGTCCCCCACGCCTCCCCAGTCTACTGACCGACAAGGTATGACTGTCCACCCTCTCCCTCCGGCTGTAGGTTCACTGCGATAGGCTTTGATCCACCAGGTTACTGTTCCAGCACTCCCCCGTCCGCGACTAGAGTGATCCGCAGATCCTGCTGCAGGATGCCCGATTTGGCGTGAATTTGATGTGCCAGCTGGGTCATATGCCCTTCTCCTGCGTGGGCTGGTCAGAGGGCGCTCAGTCAGCCATCCGGGCAGCATCGGAGTTGAATATTGACGGTTAGTCGCATTTTGATTGGCCAGCTCTGCTGGTGACGCATATAGTTCTTTGTCCGGCAATGTGCACAGTATGGGTGCTGACATCCACCTCGTGTCAACCGACCTCTTGTCCGACGTCTCGATTTAATGATCTGTATTCCTTACACACTGTTAATGTTAAGGTCGATAGGTATTGAAATAAAATGCGCGATAAATGCAACCAAAATTGTGCCAATTTGTAGTTAATATTTGAATGTGTTGTCGAATTTGGTTTTATTGCTTCCCATGTTTCCCACAGCGTAAACAGGACTGTCAGGTAATCTCAGCCACTGTACCAAGTCTCCTCATTCCCAGACCGCCTGACTCGAGCACGCAACCGAGATGGGGTTGGAGAAGAGAGGGTGATGACTGTCGAAGTCGTCTCCGTCTATTAATGTTTTCACTTTAAACGGAAAATGAGCTCTGCATTGATTATTAGGACTGGCAAACAGTTGTTTCTTGACGTTGTGCAAACTGGCGGCATAACACGCCCCTTCTCAGGACCTAGGGTCAGACTGCATGCCTCATTTTTGATGTGACCGTCGGATTACGCTCGACGGAGCGAGATCTCCCTCATCCCCAGTGGAATCTGATAGGTGGTGTGCAGTTAGGGAATTGGTAGTGTGTGGAAGGCGTATATATGATCTGCAGGGATGTGCTCAGCCTGATCAATGAAGAGATGAGGTTGATAAGAAGAATAATCGCACACTTATTTGCGATCAACAGGCTTACTGATGCGATGCTTTCATTTCGGTATAAATGGCCGCCACTATTGTGATACAATGAGCTAGACTGTGAACTGGGTCCTCTAGGTGGAATCAAGTGATCGCCACGAGGCACGACCTGCATCGGCTGCGCGCAGACTGGACGCAGCACTGGTGACTTTCGCGGAAATCCGTTTATTGTGAGGCAGCTCTGCGCAACATCTACCCCACTCCCTCCCTCCCTCTCTCCCACCCACACCCACCGGACTCCGATGGAAAGACAATGTCCAGATGACTGGAGGTGGGATCGGGCGCAGTGGTGGACA